TATCAGCTCCTCAGATTTTCAAGACATCAGACATTCCCTGGCTTTAGGAAGGAGGCAGCTATGTTAGAGGAATCAGGTCAGCATCACATTATATTGCAAAGGGGTTGGAGGCCCAAGGGCTTAGAAGCATGGATTAGCATGTGATCAAATTGTGGCCCTCCACCTACTTTTGTAAATAGTTTTATTAGACACAGCCATACCAAAGACAGTTCATACAATGCCAGGGGGACTTTCATTACAACTCCATTGTTGAACTACTATGGCCCAAACCATATAGCTGAAATATTTACTACTGGTCTTTGCAAAAATTTGCCATCCTTTGCCTTAGATTCAGGGAAGGAGACAAGACACTAGACTAGATATTAACACCAGGGGTGGACAAACGCAGAATTTTGTAATACTGGGTAAAATTGAGCCTCAGTGTTGACCTTGGAGTTTGCCTTGAGACCTCTAATCATTTGTGAAACTGACTGGCAAGGGGACTCCAGTCTGTGAAGGGAATCTCAGCAGTTGGTCATTCTGATGCCTTTATTTAGTAGATGAAGAAACAGAGGCCTAGAAAGGCCTAGAAACTCAGACTCATGATTACTTGGAGTGAGAGGTGAGACCACTCCTGCTAGTACTTTCTTCCTATAGTGTCCTTAAATTGTGAGAGGCCCAGGTCAGGAACTCATGTATTGCTAGGGGCTCTGAGGACAGGGCCTGTGGTCTTGCTGCGCCCTCTGTTGGTTGATGTCTTGGCAAATGCCAGGCTGACCTGGGAAGACGGAGAGGGAAGAGGCTTGCTGTGCTGTGTTTGAACATAGGTATTGAAATAGTTACATACATTTGTCATCAGGTAAATTAGTCCTGATGACTTGACAGTGCTTGTTCCTTTGTTCCATGCCTCTATCCCCAAGCACCTTCCACTTTCTCTAAGCCATTTCTTCAAGTCTACTCTGTGGCACCCTGTAGTGGTCACATAATCTGCCCCGAATTCAAGAAGTGATCTTTAAAACTAAAAGAATCTGCTGGTATAGAGAAGCAAGAAGCCTTAGAAGAGAGTTTTATGGGTGAATAAAGAAAGAAAAGGAACAAAGTTGGAGTGCTTGGGTGGGACATGCCAGTGATGCATGATTTCAGCTGGTGTGTGTGTGTGTGTGTGTGTGTATGGGCACGTGGTGCATGTGCAGTGTGCATGTTCACTACATGTATGTCTTCCCAGATTTTCCAGCTGGAGAGGTGGAGAGAAAGGCTCTGCCATCTTGAAACTTCCTAGGCAACATTGAAGACCTGACTGTGTATAGCACAGTCAGCAACTGCTGTAACAGATCAGAGAGGGTCTACTCCAAGGCTATCTAGCACAGTTCCTCCCCATGCCTACAACTTTATTAATCATCAGACTTTGCAGGAACTATCTCCCCTTCACATTAGTTCTTGCCACACTGAGAACTTTGCTTTGCACTTCCTCTTCTCACCATGACCATTCCTCTGTCCATATTCTTCCTCCTATGGCCTCATCCATTCCAAAGGAGTCTCAGTTCCGTTTGCTTTTGTGAATGAGAATAGATAATCCTTATTGGAGGCTGAGAACAAAGCCTGGAAAGACAATTAACTGGTTATTTTGTCCCTTCCTGGCAGCTCGTAAGTAGCTTTCTTACTTTGGATCTCTTGTGTGGTTGGGAGAAGCAGTGAAAGGGGTTGGTGGGGGTGGTCCTGACAGCTTGTCAGAATCACATAATGTTTACCGTGCCTGTGTTCATATCAGCCTTGTTTCCATACTGACAGGAAACACGGTATGTAGGGGAAGAAATTCTGTCAGATGAACTCTTAGGGAGTCACAATATGGTACATGGAATCTCATAATTGCTTTTGGAAACAGGGGGTTACCTTGCTCAAATCAAATTAAGAGGTATTGTGCTCTTTTCCATAATTGAGTAACCCTGAAAGTTGATACATGGTAATTTGCTCTGGTTCCAGGGCACTGCAGGGAAAACTCCTTGATTGGAGGAAAGTGTAAAGGTTTGTTTTCTTTCCTCTGTGTGTGTGTGTGTGTGTGTGTGTGTGTGTGTGTGTGTGTGTGTGTGTACTGAGTTGGAGGCAGTGAACAGTGGGCTGTGGGCTAGCCCTTGTGCTAACAGGTGCAGGCTACAGACCTGGCATGAACCACAGTGGCCAGGATCCCTCCTGTGGCTGACAACCACACTCATCTAGCATGCCATTTCACAACTGTCACTTGGGAATCATGTCTGCTCACCCACATTGCTCTTTCACCCAAGTAGTTCTCCCCTCTCCCCCCTCAGAACTTGGCACACACTGAGGCTAAATGCTTGATGGAGTGGCTATTTGTGGACCATCTGTGCCTGGAGCTGTGGAGCCTGTGCCCACATTGAAGGGCAGAGTTAATGCAAGAGTTCAGCGATGGTCTTGACTGAAGCACCTGGGAAAGGGGCCATGAAGAGGATGGCTAGTCATGGGGCTCATTCATATTGGTCAAAGTATCCACTTTACAGAAAGCCACATTTGTGATTTCTACTTATATTTATAACCTGTGAGTTCCTACCAAAATAACCTCTACCTTTGAGCCATTTGCTCATGAAAAGAGCAATGTATATCTACTCTTTGTAGTTACTGTCAGATATGAATGCCCAGACCTCAGACTGGTCTTTAGTGTCATGGAAGAAAAAAAAAATCTCATCAGTCTTCAGTCCTCAGCACCAAGCCTCTTTCCAGGAAGTTCTAGAAGCAGCTCCAGGGCTAAGGTCACGTGAACTTATGGCTGTGACCAGGAAACCGGCCTCCAATTTGGCTGTTACTGAATCAAGTGGCCGTGCTTAACCTTATCGTTGTGATGGGGAGAATGAAGGTTCTGATTGGATGGGGCTGTGTCATTTGCCCCTCTTTCCTCCCTTTATCCCTCCCTCCCCCACTTCTCCCTCCCTCTCCTTCCTCCCCCTCTCCCCTCCGTCCCTTCCCCCTTCCTCCCCTCCCTCCTTCCTTTCTTTCGATATATTCTTTCTTGTGATATATTGTTTGTAATCTAACAAATAAAGTTTTACTGAAGATCAGAATGCAGAGCTAAATCACTAGCTAGCCACAGAGGACAGGCAGTGGTGGCCACACCTTTATTCCCAGCACTCAGGAGACAGAGGCAGATGGTTCTCTGTTAGTTCATGACTACACTTGACTACCTGAGAGTGAATCAGTCAGAAAGAAAAACAGAGGTTTTGATACCAGCACTTAGGATGACACACCTTTAATCCCAGCCTTCCTTCCCTCCCTCTTTCCTTCCCTCCCTCTTTCCTTCCCTCCCTCTTTCCTTCCCTCCATCTTTCTTTCCATCCTTTCTTTCTTTCTTTCTTTCTTTCTTTCTTTCTTTCTTTCTTTCTTTCTTTCTTTCTTTCTTTCTTTCTTTCTTTCTTTCTTTCTTTCTTTCTTTCTTTCTTTCTTTCTTTCTTTCTTTCTTTCTTTTCTTGAGACAGGGTTTCCCTGTGTAGCCCTGGCTGTCCTGGAACTTGCTCTGTAGACCAGGCTGACCTCTGCCTCCTGAGAGCTGGGATTAAAGGTGTGTGCCACCACTAGGGCTGAGTCACAAACCATCTTCAGAACTTGGGAGGTACCAGCATCCCAGAACCAGGTTTGTTGAGATTTGTTCAGACTTGGAGAGAGAATTTTTTTCTTCCTTTTTCTTTTTTTCTTTCTTTCTTTTTTTTTTTTTTTGTTGTTGTTTTTTCAAGACAGGGTTTCCCTGTGTGGCTTTGGAGCCTATCCTGGAACTAGCTCTTGTAGGCCAGGCTGGTCTTGAATTCACAGAGATCCGCCTGCCTCTGCTTCCCAAGTGCTGGGATTAAAGGCATAAGCCACCACCACCCAGCTGAAAGGATGTTCTTTAGAAGAGATGATAGAATAGACTAAAGAAAACCTATATTCAAGCTAATAATAGGTCTCCCTTGCTAGTGAATGATTGTGTCCCTGCTCCATAACTGCTGAAGACTCAGTCCTTCCTTTCTGCCAAGTTGCTTCCAAGCTCTATCAGTTTGAGGGACAGCTGCAGATTGGAAGGCCTAGAGTGTCTGGGATAGCATGCCTCAGTGGCTGTTTCCTCAAGCATCCTCTGGCCAGGGAAAGCTGAAAGAAACTTAAGTGTTATTGCTGGGAAAGAATCCTAGTCCCAGCCTGAAATATGCACTTTGTTTTTCATAGGAGGGAAAACAAAAAGGGTCAAAGAGAGGGTAGGGTGAGCCATTGAAGTAACAAAACATCCAGTGCTAGCACTCCAGCTTCTGGCCCTGAGGTTGGGTGGCTCACCTTATTTCTCCTTCAGAACCCTCTTGGTGGCTGAGTGGCTGAAGGCTAATCACTTCCTGTTTCTATGCCTGTTCATCTGGGGAATGCAGTTTTTATTTGAAACATTCAAAAAGTGGGCTTTGCTCCAATTTGATAAAAATGGAAGAAAAAAAAAGCCAAACACCCAGTGCAAAATTGTATCCACTAGGGTGCTTTGAATTATAAATAATTCAGGATTTTTTTTCAAACTGCCCTAAGCAATCAGTTTTTCAGATTACCAGGGACCAATTCTACTTATTGTCATTTTTTAAGTTCTGGCCTCCCTGGTTCAGCTTCATTCTCACAGCAACTTTCCACACAAGGTCAAGGACACCATTGTAGGCACTGGTTTCCAGAGCAAGAACGAGAACTAGCTGAGTTGGCTTAGGCCATGAGCTTGACACCTTTATTCAGTCACCAGAATCAAACTCTGTTTCATGTTGTTTGACCAGATAGGGAATGGAGCCATAATTGCTAGAACCACTGGTGTTTTCACATAGAAATAAACAGCTGGGTGTGGCCTTCATACCATTCTCTGTCCTAGACTTCTCTCTGTGTGTGCAGACTCTATGATATAATGGCCTAAGTTCACCATTATCTTGCCTGATCTACTCAGGATTCTTGACTCAATTGTAGAGTAACAGATTGCCCTGCCTGGTGCTCTTCTTGTCTCATCATACTTTTCTTTTCTCCAGACAGAGATTACTGCAGTCTATGCGACAAACAACCAATCGGGAGACTGCTTTTTCGACAGTTCTGTGAAACCAGGCCTGGGCTGGAGTGCTACATTCAGTTTCTGGACTTAGTGGTAAGTCCCTGCCAAGTGGCCCTTGGGGTCTTCTGTGGTCAGCAATTAGTTTTTGTCAGGAGGAAATAAAGATAGGCCTGATGGTTTTGAAACCTGAAGAATCTAGATTCTTGTTACATGAGAAACTGGGAAGGTTCTTAATGTAGAAGTAGCTCTTGAATGCTGTTGCCCTTCCTCCAGCTGAAATGCTTCAGGTAAGATACACATCTAGTATCTTTGTTTACCAGTTTACTGTCTGTTTCCCCAGGGAACGCAAACTTTTGGCCTTTGAGCTTCTTGTTCACCCCATCCAATAGAGCTTCCTGAACACACAGGCACCATCAGTAAACTCCTGTTCAGTGAGTGCCTATTGGCTGTTTCAGGCCAGCACTCACTGTCTCTGTCAGGTGGCTGTGCCTGATGCCTCCAGGACTTCCTTCAGCTGTTTTGTGTCTCATTTGTCTAACAAAAGCCTGAGCTTGTAGGGACATTATGAAAATACACAGGAGTTCATCAGCCTTTGATCAGGATGGTCATGGCCCCTCAAGCTCATAGCCTAGACAGCTACCGTTTGGATTTCTATCTGGGTGTGGAGATTAAGAGCTCTAGGTGTCAGGGGAAAGCAGTAGAGAACCCCTGTGTAGGGAGTGGGGCCATCTGGGATCTCCTCTCAAGGACAGAACCAAGATGTAATTGTCTCTTGTAGACTCACATGGCCTCTATCTCTATTTAGGATGCTTCCCCACCAGGCTCATGTTTTTATGTCTCTTCAGAGTCTCCCTGTTGTCTCTAGACATATAAGCAAAGCTACGAGGGTAAACTTCTCCATTGAAGTTCCACCACCTCTACCAAGTCAACATACTCAACACACGCAGGCACTTTTCCCTGGTCCCCCAAACTCCCAGCCCTAAGAATGTTCTTTGCTTTCCAGTTACTGGAAGCTGAAGTCTTTGCAGTGTCCTTAACTCTTCCCTTCTCCTTATTCTTCCTTCATATTCGGGGACCATGTGCTCAGCTTCTTGACCCCTTGAGCCTTTTTATCACCTGTAGCCTCTGCCCCAGTCCTGGTCCTGGCATAGGTCCTGGCATCTTTCACTTGTTCTCAACTACGACTGAGGATTGAAAACACCTGGGAGCCTTAAAAACTACCAGTGCCTGAGCTGAAACCCTGAGTAATAAATTTGGATCTCTGAGAGTGTGGCCTGGTGATTTCTTTTTTAACTTATTACGGGAAGTTTCAGACTATTTAAAAAGTAAAAGTCAGCTGTATAATGTAATGAGCCCTCATGTGCCTTTCACCTCACTTCAACAGTGATCAGCCCAGACTTCCACCTTCCCCTCAGCCGTGGTTTATAGCAAATAACAGCTATCAAAATTGTTTCATCTGTGAAGTTTTCAGTAGGTCTCTTTAAAGAGCAAGGGCTCTTTAAAACAAACTAAAACCAAAAAATGACTAAGGGTTTATGTCTTAGTCAGTGTTCTATTGCTGTAAAGAAACACCATGACCATGACAACTCTTATCAGAGAAAGCAATTAACTGGGACTTTCTTAAAGTTTCAGAGATTTAGTCCATTATCATCATGGTGGGAAGGGAAGTATGGCAGCATGCAGTCAGGTGCTGAAATGTAGTTGAGAACTACATCCTGGGAGGGAGAGGGAGAGAGACAGAGACACAGAGACAGAGACACAGAGAGAGACAGAGACACAGAGAGGCACTCTGGACTTGGCACCCCAAAACACACTTCCTCCAACAAAGCCACATCTCCTAATCCTCCCCAAGTAATTCTACTCCCTGATCAACAAGCCTTCCAAGTGTATGAGCCTATGTGAGCCATTATTATTCAAATTACAACAGTTTAGGGTGTGGTTCAATGGTAGAGCTCTGGCCTAGTACATACAAAAAGACCTGGGTTCCATTCCCAGCAATGCATAAAAACAACACATACAAGCAAAAAAGAAAGTAGAAAAAAACCCCACCACAGTACTGTTGTTATAAGCTAAATTTTTTTTATTATTGTCAAATATGAGTGTATAAATTTCTAATTCTCTTGTTCACTTTATGAGTTTGTGTTTTGCTATTGTGGAACTGACCTGGGTGTGTATCATTTGGTCTTTCTCTTGACTCCAGTAACCCCCTATCACCACCTTCTGTGAAGGGTCTGTTGTTCCTGTAGAGTATAACTACTGCTCTAGCTGTCTGTATGCCTACTTATTAGAGTCCTCAGTAGTATTTCTTGTAAATTTCATATGTGTGTGTGTGTGTGTGTGTGTGTGTGTGTGTGTGCATGCTTGTGTTTGTACCTTATTTTATCAGAGTAGCCTTATGTTCTTCCAATGGGCGGTATAAGATGTCTGGACATCCTTGTTCTTGAGATGGCAATGTTCAACACCTACATCAGCTGAGGAGTGAAGGTTTACAACATGGCAACATTCTAATTCTACTCTTCTTCATACTAATTGGAACAGTTTCTTCATTTCCTCTATGGCTATCTAACAGTAAAGTTTGAATAGGAAATGATTGATGAAAATTTTTCCTATATTTATGTTTCAAGATACCCATTTAGGGTTGGGAAATAGCTCAGTTGGTAAAATGTTTGTCACACAGCATGAAGACCTGCCACCTAAATTAATAAAAGAAAAGCTGGGCATGGCAGTGTGTGCTTATAATCACAATGCTGGAGAGGCAGAGATAGATGGATCCCTGGGACTTACTTACCAGTTAGTCTAGTCTATTGGTGAGTTCCAGATTCAGTGAAATACTGTCTGGAAAATCAAGGTGGACAACACCTGAAGTTGACTTCTGGCCTCCATATGTTTATACATATACATATGCTCATTCCAAAATACAACGTATCAAGAGCTCCAAATTGGCTCCCTAACATCATCAATAGTGGTAATGCATAAGAATTTTGAACTCATGGTTTTAAATGTGTTGTATGTACCCCAATGCACTGAAGTTCTTATTTCTTCCTGGAGTCACTATTGGCCAGTAGAAACCCCCTTCAGGTGGTCCTCTGAGTACTTGTGGAGCTAAGAATTTACTAGCAGCTGTCTGCAGTGACAGTATTCTGGGTTCATCTTGTACTACACCAAGGAGCCTGGTTCCTTTGCCTGGAAAGTAACATTTGGGAGCCACAGCATGGCACTAGGAATGCTCACTGTAACCAGATAAACCATCATTTCTAGTAGGTAGTAGTTTTTTTCAAGTCTCCAAGGACTTTACTATATATATATATGGGGTTGGAAAGTGTTGATATCAAGCTAATACCCAGGTTCTGAGGGTGACTTACCAGATTAGCCACCATCAGATACCTGCTTTTCTCTTTAATTACCAGCCTTCACCAGATATTTTTTCCACTTCTGGTTCTGCCATACTAGGCTCAGTTAAGTTCCCTGGCCCTGGTTGTCTGAACCTTCCTTTTCTGAGATGCTACTCCATGATCTCATTTCCCTGACAGGTGCCTAGTTGTTCTCCTGGCCGTATTTACAGACCCTTCCCCACCTTGCTTTCCCTCTTCTCTGGGTCCTTGCTTCTTATGTACACTTATTATAACACTATAACACTAGCAGATTGTTATTGGTAGAAATTGTTGGATCCAAAGATGGGCTGCCAGTATGGTGTAGGCTCTGTCCCTAGCTCTTGTGGGCAGATGTTAACCTCTTTTCTAGGATCTTTGGTTATGGCCATCAAACCTGAGGACCACTGGTCAAGAATGCACCAGGGCCCTCTTTGTATACCCACCTACTATGACAACTTGGACTGTGCCTTGGAGAATCTTCACTTTGGCCTCAGTTGCCTTTTTCCAGAGACCCAGAACACTGTGACCCATAGCAAAGCTTTCATTTGAGCCACGATGAGAAGCCCTAGTACCAAACTCCTTGCTAGTTTTTAGCCTTTCATTCACGTAACAAAATTACTCTTTGGTTGTAGGCATCTTATCAGTGAGCTTGTAATGGTGGCCACACCTCCTTGGGAGTGGCCTCAGGCAGATGGATGCAGAAAGAGAGGCTTGACTTGCCTTTGTGCGCTCTTTCTGGTGGGTCAGCAGATCTGGTACGAAGAACAGGGAAATGCTCCAGCAGTTCTTTGTATTTTTATGTATAATTGTTCCCCAATAAACACCCATTTATCATTTATCTTGGTTCTAGTGACATAATTACAGCCTCAACTTCATTTGGTAGGTAGAGTTAGGACAAATTGATAGAATAGTCTAAGATGCCTGCACTTGTGATATCACCTTCTCAACAGGAAAGGGTGCTTTCTGTGCCATAAACACAGGAGAACAGTGATTTTTTTTTAAGTCATAAAAAGTGTTAAGTGGGGTGGGAAAAAATAATCAGAGCATATTGCAGTGTTGGGAGTAAGGAAAAGGAAGCCTGGTTGTAGTGTTAAGAAGAGTGGTAAGCATAGGTATTCTTACCAAGGTAACATGTGACTGAAGACTAGAAGGAGTTGGAGCTAGTAGGTAGTGAAAGGGCATTGCAGAAAGAGAGCCTTCTTTAAGAAGGCCTGTTGGCAAGAGTGTCCATGGTTAGAGAGGAAACACAGAAAATAGGAGAAGCATTGATCACACAAGACCCTATAACCTCTGAAGAACTTTGGCTCTTATGTTGCATGAAGTTCAGGAACCAATGGTGGATTTTAGCAAGGCAGAGGATGGCATGATCTGATCTAGGTGGACATGGGTAAAATCTGGTAGATCTGAGAGGGGGTAGTTTATAACAATCCAGGTGAGAGCCATGGTGTTTGGGCCAGCATGAAACAATAGTGATAGGTGGTTGGATTAGGCTTAGGGAGCATGTCTTGAAGACAAACTTTCCAGATTTCCCTGATGGACTGGAGATGAATAAAATTGTTGAGGCTGGATTCCCTGTTAGTCACTTAGGGAGAAGAGAATAACTGACAAAAACAGCTTATGGAAACAAGGATTTATTTTGGTTCATCATGGTGGGGAAGTCTTGGTGTCAGGATCTTGAGGCATAGTCAGGAAGCAGAGAATGACAGATACAGGTTGCTGTTG